GGCTATGATGCCCGCTCGTGCCCACCCCGTCCCGTCTTCAGGGATTTCGCATCCCCCGATGACGGTAAGATGGGAAGACGGGCCGCCGCCCCTGGCATTGCACGTACGGCGCCAGGTTTGTGGGGATTTGGTTCGACCCCCGCAGTACCAAGGGTGGAAACTGCGAGGGGGGTGAGGCCTCATGGTGGTTCTCACTGGTAAGGCCTATGATGGTCCTCACCTGGGGGGGAGAGGGCAAGGGCGGACGTCCACCAAAAACGTCCGTCGTAAAATGCACTGTGACCACATTCATGAATCAGAAGACCGTGCCTTTCACGAGCACGACCCGACCTATGATTGCGGACTCCGTGAAACGCACCGTGGCCACGCCCATGACCACGAAAATCATGAAATTCACAAGCTCGACTCGACCTATGATTGCGGACTCCGTGACACGCATTGTGACCGCGCTCATGATCACGAAGACCGTGAACACACACGAGCACGACCCGACCTATGATTGCGGACTTCGTGAAATGCCCTGTGACCGCACTCATGAACAAGAAGACCGTGAAATTCACGAGCACGACCCGACCTACGATTGCGGACTCCCTGAAACGCACCGTGAACACACCCATGATCACGGAAACTGTGACATTCACGAGCACGACCCGGTCGAGGCCGAGGTGCTGCCCGCACTGCCTGTATCGCGGCTCCGATGGGGTGGAGACCAGGAGGAGGAGAAGGAGGAGGACGACGACGACGAGAAAGTTGAGTTCAATGAACAAATTTAGCGCGAAGGCCTATGATGGTCCTTCTTCCCAAAACGAGCATTGCTGATGGCCCCGAATTGGGTGCAAGGTGCCTATGATGGCCCCTCTGGCTGCCTATGGTGGCGGCACTGGACGACCGGCAGGGGACTGGGTCCCGTTCACGGTTCACTAGGGGAGAGCATGCTACGCATGGAATGAAGTCAATGCAAATAAATTGCAATGGATCCGTGAGTGGATCAATCTAGACTGGTGAAGCTATGATGCCTCTTTTGATTTTGAGCCGGCTATGATGCCCGCTCGTGCCCGCCCCGTCCCGTCTTCATGGACTTCGCATCCCCCTATGGTGGTAAGATGGGAAGACGGGCCGCCGCCCCTGGCACTGCACGTACGGTGCCAGGTTTGTGGGGATTTGGTTCGACCCCCGCAGTACCAATGATGGAAAATGCGAGGCGTGTGAGGCCTCATGGTGGTTCTCACTGGCAAGGCCTATGATGGTCCTCACCTGGGGGGGAGAGGGCAAGGGCGGACGTCCACCAAAAACGTCCGTCGTGAAATGCACTGTGACCACATTCATGAGTCAGAAGACCGCGGCATTCACGAGCACGACCCGACCTATGATTGCGGACTCCGTGAAACGCACCGTGACCACGCCCATGACCAAGAAAACAGTGAAATTCACAAGCACGACTCGACCTATGATTGCGGACTCCGTGACATGCATTGTGATCGCGCTCATGATCACGAAGACCGTGAAACACACGAGCACGACCCGACCTATGATTGCGGATTCCGTTACTACTTTGCGGACTTGCGTCATGCATGGATGCTGGTCAGCGCGCGCTGAAGCAGCCACCGTTGCGCGGAGCGCTGCTGTAGCAGACTGCACGTCTTGGAGCACATCTCCGAGCGGAAAAGAATGCGAAGTTGTCGTCGGAGCGGACGGATCACGGCAAGCTCAGCACCGTCCAGTCGATCCAAGAGGCCGATGCCATTGCGGCATATACGGTGCCTTTGACCAATTCCCAGGCTTTACAGCCTGTGTTGGACGCGAATGCGCATCGGTTGCACAGGGCAGCGTAGTCATGGAGCCGTCATATTTCCCAGTCCGCCGTCATGAAGTTGCCGATCGGCTCTGCTTTGCAAGCGAATGCTGTGTCGACGGACCTGCCGTGCACGCGCAGGTACAAGGCCAAGTGGGGAGCCTTGCATAACAGTTTGATGGAGCACCACGCGCGGCCCGTTACGCTGATGCCGCAGGTACCAACAGAGGCACGCGTCCAAGGGGGGCTGGAACCCTGCACCAGCCGCGCCCCTTCTGGATCACATGCGTCATGGGTCCTGACCCCGCGGTGCCTCGCCCTGTGCAATCGGGCAGCGCAGACTTGGCCGCGGGCCCGCTTGCCGCAGGCATACTCGACCCCCCAGGCCACGGGCATTGTGTCATACGTGTCCATCAGGTGCCCGACACCGCCGCAGCAGCAGCAGCTTGGATGCCTCCGCCGAGCTCATCACCAGGACAATTTTTGGCACCCCGCACCACCAGCCGGGCCTGGTGAGCTGCTCCCAGCGCAGGTGGTATGCCTTCGTCAGCGCGCCCGTGAGTCGGGTCGGCAAGCTCACCCGCTGGAGCCGCAGGTTGTCTACCACGTTGGTGTCTACGTAGTGGACCTGCTCCAGGACGCTGTCCACAAAGGGTGGAAGGTACACGCACATGAGGAGGTCCAAAGGCCCCCGAAGCTGCACACGGCCACTACTGTTAGGTCCAGCAATCGCTCGCCCAGGATGACGTCGTAGTTGGAGGTTACGAGGCAGCCCATTCAGCTTCGTGAAGAGACGCAACGGAAGGAAAGCACATCCGCTTGGTGAGACGGAACAGTACGCCAGCATGCCCAACTAGAGCCATTGGTACGTTTTGCTCGGGCCAAGGATCGCTGAGCAGGCCTGATGCCCACGTGACACCGTCTACTCCGCAGAGGCGCCCTGCACCACGCTGCAAGTGAAGTCCCGTGACTGGATCGACGACCACTGGGCCCCGAGGGTGCAGCGGCACCACTGTCAATTGCGTCAAGGACTTGGCGTGCCCAGGAAGTGCCCAACGATGCGGTTGCCGATCGTATGGAGTCCCGTTGGGCCCAGTGCCATGCTGGAAGTTGTAGGAGACCTCGACGATGCCGTCCCCGTTGTCTCAGGTCTCAGTCGCAGGGATGAGGTGGACTATGGGGCCTCATTCTTTGTTTTGTTTGTCCAACGTCTTGGCGTCGGCGCACTGCTGGCCGACTCAGAGGACGCTTCTTCCGACTGGGAGGACGCTTCTTTCAGCAGCCTTCTTGCTCGCGAGTCCTCGGTTCGGTCGTCGCTCTCGTCGTTGGTCCCTCCCTCTCCTTTGCCACTGCCTCTTTTCCTCACTGGTTGCGTCCCTTTCTGCCTTCGTGCGTTCTTCCTCCCTCCACTGTTTCACGGTTTCATAACTGTCTGGGTTATCCGTCCGTTCGGCGCGCTACGGAGCTGCCTTGTGGGACGGATTGTTGGTCTCGCCGCGTCTAAAGGGCCTCATCTCTGATCCAGCAGAAAGCTTGTTGGGCTCCTTGCACGTCAGTGGCCTTTTCAGGTCTAGTCGAGCCAGCTTGCACCATTCGTACTTAGGTTGTGCCGGTGCTGGATCGCATCGAACGGGAGCCTTTTCACGAGGCCCTTGACGTCGTAGTAGCTCATGGTGGGAAGCTTCCCCATGCCAGAGCGCCAGACTGGCCAGTATCTGGTGCCTGCCTGCCGTAATGAGAAGTGGGGATAGGGGGCGAGGAGGAGGAGGAGGAGGAGGAGGAGGAGGACGAGGAGGAGGAGGAGTACAAGGGCGAAGGGAAGGAGGAAGAGGAGGAGGAGGAGGATAGTGGACAAGATAAGAGCGAGCAAAAGGTGGGCACGGAAACAAGGACGCATGGAAGGAAACGCGCGAGAGAACACGCACGAAAGCAGACAAGCAAGGACGGAAGCGAGCTATCTAGCAAACAAGCCAGCAAAGTTGTCAGCCAGTCAGTTGTTTAGCCCGCCAGCCAGCGAGCATGATGGCAGGCAAGCGTGCGCACAAACAACCATGCGATGGGAGCCATGAGGATTCTTTAGGGGCCATCAGAGCCGATGGAAGTCATCGAAGTGGTCGGGGTAATACATGGCCGCGGGACCGATCAGTTCCTCCTCTTCTGCCAGAGTGAGTTCGAATTATTCTCGGCAATCCAAAGTAAATAATGATATAGTTGGTTGGTTGCTTTTCATGATCTTGATGCTCTTGATGATGCATGGGCTGCTGCACAGCGGTTGGCGTCTCAGCGCCTATCTACAGTGACGCTTGGCATTTCGAGCTTCCTTGCTGCCAATACATCCTCAATGCTCACGAGTGTCTTTCTTCTGCAATTGCCCGTAAACCTCGCTGGGGTCAGACCCAGGTGGGTTGGCCACATTCGCAAACGCCACCACAGATCGCGCTGTTCACTCAGCATCGCCTGCGTTGCAGGGGCCTGTTCGGGTCGGCGTCGCTCGTGCTGCTGTAGTCTGGAATCGTCGTAAAATACGGGTTCGCGACGGCGTGCTTGAAGCACCACAGATCTCACGGCGCCGCAAAGTGCGTAACAACATTCCGACCCCAAGGCCCAGTTTGTTATCCAGTTGGTTACCAGCAACACCTGGTCACATCATTATCGTTTCAAGCGGTTTGCATGGAATATCCAGCTCCACTCGACGTGCGCGAACTTCCCCCTCCTGCCCACCCCGCTCATACGTATCCTTTCGAGCTCGGGAGTGTGAATCGCAACTCGTTCAGCCCGAAGCACGAAGACAGTTGAGCCGAGGCCTCCACGGGCCTGGTCAACAATTCAGAATGGGGGGGCGGGCAAGAAGAGGTTGGTTCAAGGAAGCTTGCCAGGAAGGGTCTGAAGGTGGCGAGTGGTCACGAGGGGAAGGACGAGCTGGAGATGGAGAAGGAGAGGGAGGGTGCCAGACACAATCCTGGAGAAGGCTCTCCCCCGCTGTCCAGTGCAGCCAAGAGTGGGTTAGCCTCACTTGATGGAAGGGCCCGAGACTTGGTCTAGCGGCTCGTTACCGTTCAGAGACGGCGCCGTAGCATGCGTCAACGAATGTCTCGCGGCAGGACTCCACAACCGTGTTGGTCGCCATTTGATGTTTCCGTGTCTGTCACGGGTTCGGTAGGATTCGGAAGATCCATCCGCACGCGACGCGATAGATGTGGAGGGTCAGGTTGGTTGGCATGGGGCCACTTCAGGTGCAACATCGACTGCGCGGCGGACCCGTACAACTGCATTTCCGAGCAATTGTTCCAGCAGCATGCGGACGGGTTTGATTCGGGGTACAGGGGGATGTAACAAACCAGAACCAGTCGAGGCGTGTGCTTCTCAACATGTGCATGTGTTCAGCTTGACTTGTTTCAAATTCTAGATGTCGGTTGCCAGGCCTCCCAAAGATTTCGATTCCGTGATTGCGCACGCATTCAGAATACGGTTCGGATTTGGTTCGTGCCACATCTGCTGTTGGAGTTGAAATTCCGCCAGCCGTTTGTTTGGATCGCGCGTGCGGGCGAGGCCAAGCAGCGCGATTTCTTGCCTAGCTAGGCCCTGCACTGGCTGGGGTGTACGCCGGGCTGTCCCACGGTTGTCCCGATGGTTGTCTTGCCGGTTGTTCCGCGGTTGTCCTGATGGTTGTCGTGTTGGTTGTTCCAATGGTTGTCCCGATGTTGATCCTGCTGGTTATCCGTAAGGGCTTCGCCCCCTGCCGCCGGCCCCCTCTCGGATACTGGGCTACGCAAGAGGTAAATCATGAGGCCTCGGCGCCTCCGTGAAGCAGCATCGGCAAGAGAAATTGAGATTATGATGAGATTGTTGAACTCAGTGTTGCATTTTGAACCTGCACCGGTTTGCTGTGCACTTAGGTTTCCCACAGAATTTCGGACATGTGGCAAATCCCATTGGTTTTTCCCGGAAAGGGCGCGGGCCCAGGGTTCTCTTTTAGCTGTTTACCCCTGGATCTGACGGGTCAAGCGCCGGCGAAATTATTTGCGATAAATAACGAGGTAAAGTGCTGATTTTTTTTAGAAAAAGTGCGTTTTGTGCGTGCCCGCTCGAGGAAAGTTCGCCCCCCATCTCGGATCCTCGATAAATAACGGGGTCCGCAGACCCCCGCTTTCCCTCGTAAAAAAGAGGGTGCGGAGCGTTTTTCGCAGAATCCTCGAAAAATAACGGGGTCTGGAGCCCCGACCGCGACTCGGAAAAGCGCCCCGCGCGCAGGAATTCCGAGGATGTCTCGCGCGTGCCGCGTCCCGCGCGCAGGAATTTCGAGGATGTCTCGACTAATTCGCTTGTTTTGTCAGGATTTCTTAGAACTTTGGCAGGATGTCTCGAGCGAAACGCTTATTTTACATAGTTTGTGGAGGATGTCTCGAGCGAAACGCTGGTTTTCGCAAAATTTGGAGATGTCTCGAGCGGGGGGCCAGAATTCAGAGGATGTCTCAGGCGAAATGCTTGTTTTCGTGTCCCGCTCGCGGGAATTCCAAGGATGTCTCGCGCGGGCCGCGTCCCGCGCGCAGGAATTTCGAGGATGTCTCGACTAATTCGTTTGTTTTGTCAGGATTTCTTAGAATTTTGACCGGATGTCTCGAGCGAAACGCTTGTTTTTCATAATTTGTTGAGGATGTCTCGAGCGAAACGCTGGTTTCTGCAAACTTGGGGATGTCTCGAGCGGGGGCCTCGTGGGGGGCCAGAATTCAGAGGATGTCTCAGGCGAAATGCTTGTTTTCACGTCCCGCTCGCAGGAATTCGGAAGATGTCTCGCGCGTGCCACGTCCCGCGCGCAGGAATTTTGAGGATGTCCCGTAGCGCGTCCCCTTGGCACGGCCTACGGTGCGACCCCATGGCACGTCCCTTGGCACGTCGCCTGGCGCGTCCCTGGGGACGTTTCGCGGCGCGTCCTCCTGGCATGTCCCCCTGTCAATTAGCTCTGGGGCAGCTACTATGTGTTCAGGAAGCTCGAGCTTCAGATCCAGATCAGTTCGGTCAGGACTTGGATGCAAAGGAAGACTCGCGCGCAGGAATTCCGAGGATGTCTCGCGCGTGCCGCGTCCAGCGCGCAGGAATTTCGAGGATGTCTCGACTAATTCGCTAGGTTTTGCAGGATTTTCCGTAGGAGGGCCAAGGAGAGGCCCCGAAGGCTCTGGGAGCGGCGACGACGACGACGACGACGACGACGACGACGACGTCTCTTGGGGTTCTCTTGGACGGTTTGTAGAGTCCACGCTTACATGATCGACGGGTCGAGGACAGCGCGACGACGACGACGTCGCGGTGGCGGCGGCGTCCACCACGACGACAAAGTCTCATCTTAGAGCCTTGCGTGGGGGGGTCTCTTGGGGTTCTCTTGGAGGGTCTCTGGAGGGTCTGTAGAGCCCACGCTTACACGATCGAGGGATCGAGGACAGCGCGACGACGACGACGACGTCGCGGTGGCGGCGGCGGCGACGACGACGACGACAAAGTCTCATCTTAGAGCCTTGCGTGGGGGGGTCTCTTGGGGTTCTCTTGGAGGGTCTCTTGACGGTTTGTAGAGCCCACGCTTACACGATCGAGGGATCGAGGACAGCGCGACGATGACGACCACGTCGCGGTGGCGGCGGCGGCGACGACGACGACAAAGTCTCATCTTAGAGCCTCTCGTGGGGGGGTCTCCGGGGGTTCTCTGGGAGGGTCTCTTGGGGGTCTGCAGAGCCCACGCTTACACGATCGAGGGCTCGAGGACAGCGCGACGACGACGACGACGTCGCGGTGGCGGCGGCGGCGGCGATGACGACGACAAAGTCTCATCTTAGAGCCTTGCGTGGGGGGGTCTCTTGGGGTTCTCTTGGAGGGTCTCTTGAGGGTCTGTAGAGCCCACGCTTACACGATCGAGGGATCGAGGACAGGGCGGCGGCGGCGACGACGACGACAAAGTCTCATCTTAGAGCCTTGCGTGGGGGGTCTCTTGGAGGGTCTCTTGGGGGTCTGTAGAGCCCACGCGCGGTGGCGGCGGCGGCGACGACGACGACAAAGTCTCATCTTAGAGCCTTGCGTGGAGCGGTGTCTTGGGGTTCTCTGGGAGGGTCTCCTGGGGGGTCTGTAGAGCCCACGCTTTCACGATCGAGTGATCGAGGACAGCGCGACGACGACGACGACGTCGCGGTGGCGGCGGCGGCGACGACGACGACAAAGTCTCATCTTAGAGCCTTGCGTGGGGTGTCTCGGGGTTCTCTTGGAGGGTCTCTTGGGGGTCTGTAGAGCCCACGCTTTCACGATCGAGTGATCGAGGACAGCGCGACGACGACGACGACGTCGCGGTGGCGGCGGCGACGACGACGACGACAAAGTCTCATCTTAGAGCCTCTCGTGGGGGGGTCTCCGGGGGTTCTCTGGGAGGGTCTCTTGGGGGTCTGCAGAGCCCACGCTTACACGATCGAGGGCTCGAGGACAGCGCGACGACGACGACGACGTCGCGGTGGCGGCGGCGGCGGCGACGACGACGACAAAGTCTCATCTTAGAGCCTTGCGTGGGGGGGTCTCTTGGGGTTCTCTTGGAGGGTCTCTTGAGGGTCTGTAGAGCCCACGCTTACACGATCGAGGGATCGAGGACAGGGCGGCGGCGGCGACGACGACGACAAAGTCTCATCTTAGAGCCTTGCGTGGGGGGTCTCTTGGAGGGTCTCTTGGGGGTCTGTAGAGCCCACGACGACGACGTCGCGGTGGCGGCGGCGGCGACGACGACGACAAAGTCTCATCTTAGAGCCTTGCGTGGAGCGGTGTCTTGGGGTTCTCTTGGAGGGTCTCTTGGGGGTCTGTAGAGCCCACGCTTTCACGATCCGACGACGTCGCGGTGGCGGCGGCGGCGACGACGACGACAAAGTCTCATCTTAGAGCCTTGCGTGGGGTGTCTCGGGGTTCTCTTGGAGGGTTTCTTGGGGGTCTGTAGAGCCCACGCTTTCACGATCGAGTGATCGAGGACAGCGCGACGACGACGACGACGACGTCGCGGTGGCGGCGGCGGCGACGACGACGACAAAGTCTCATCTTAGAGCCTTGCGTGGGGGGGTCTCCGGGGGTTCTCTTGGAGGGTCTCTTGGGGGTCTGTAGAGCCCACGCTTACACGATCGAGGGATCGAGGACAGCGCGACGACGACGACGTCGCGGTGGCGGCGGCGGCGACGACGACGACGATCCAGCGTAATCCAGGCCCCCAGCGAATCCGTGTGTTCTTACGTATGTGCCTATAGATTAGGCTTCCCAGGTCCACACGGCCCCCAAAGAGTTCCCTCAGGGCCCCCAAAGAGCTCCAAGACGGTCCGAGAGGGCCTTGGGATCGCCCGAGGCAGCATGCAGCACTACCGACGGTACGGCAGCAGCGACGACCGTGCCTTGCGCTTGTGGGACATCTGTTTACTCGGGTACACACGATACCTGCGACGCCAGCTCCAACACGTGCGTTCAGGCGAGTTCTGTTAGATGTATGGGAGGAGGAGGAGGACGCAGAAGAGGAGGAGGAGGAGGAGGAAGACACGTGTCAAGTCCTGCATTCGAGCTGCGCCTTCTTCCCGACATGTTTTTCGGGCGGCCGCCCCCGCAGCGCCGGGGCAGGCCGAGGGGGGAGCTGGCCGAGGTCACGTCGAGGTTCGAGCTTCGAACTTCAGAGTCCGAGTCTTGAGGCTTTCTGGCCCTCGGGGGCCGTCCTCGTCGCCCCGGCTGGACGCAGCTCCAAAAACTTGTGCGTTTGGACCCTTGGAGGGGGCCGGGAACTGATTTCGGGAGGACTTCGACGGTTTCAGCTTCCGAGGCGAGAGAAATCGGCAGGGCATGCTGTCGGCCGCGGCTCGAGACGACGACGGCGACGACGACGACGACGTAGCACACTTTGGCTCGAGACCGCTCCGCTCGCGCTTTCCTCGCTTCACCGCCAACAGACGGTCGTAAGGATGTGGGACTTCTTGCTTTACGTGGGGCACGTCGCTGCTTGCTGCACCGTCACACTCATGGCTCCCAAGAGACGCAGGCGAACCGGCGCACCGGCGAGCGGCGGGGAGGTGCAGGAGGCGATGACTCCGGGATCCCGCTCCGACGTCGACGCAGGCGGGCGGCCGAGCGGGGAGGAGATGCAGAATGCGGTGTCTCCGGATTTCCGCGCTAAGGCCCTCGCGCTCATGTGTGAGCAGACACGCGCCATGTTGTGTCAAAAACGCAAGGCTGATCCTGGCGATGAAGTTGTACGAGACGATGGGCACGTATGGCTGCAGGGCGCCTGGGTGCCACCTCACAGGGTC